TTTTGCTTTTTGTATTTTAATCCTTGCTCAATACATACGAGTACAGCATTGTAACTACACAACCAACTCCTTAAACCTCTCCCATCCCTCTAGCCCCATAACACACCACCCTCTCACACACCAGCCCCCGTTACCCCACCTCCTCACACACCAGCCCCCGTTACCTCCCCCCTCACACAGCAGCCCCCATTACCCCTCCCCCTCACACCAGCCACCGTTACCCCCCCCCCTCTCCCCCATAGTTGTAAATGCTTGGGATTCACGAGTCGATACTCTCGGGGAGGGTGGAATAACAACGCTGACTGTACGAGTCAGAAAAATCCCCAACTGTACACCCTGCCATCCTTTGCTGTACTATACACCCTTGGCTGCCCTATGTACATCCTACCATTTCTTGCTGTACACCCTACCATCCGTTTTGTACACCCTTGGCTGCCCTATGTACACCTTGCCATCCCTTGTTGTACACCCTTGGCTGCACTGTACGCCTTAGCATCACTTGTCTTCCTCTCCCGGTAACTTTGGCAGCCAAATTCTCCAACCACCCATTAACCCTTCGGCTTCAATCTTCTGTCGACTATCTCTCACTCTCGCTTCTATCTCTCAGCATCACTTCTATCTCTTACCCTCACTTGCATCATCTCTCTCTCTCTCTCTCTCTCTCTCTCTCTCTCTCTCTCTCTCTTTCGTCCAAGTTATCTTCACGCTTGTCTTCCCTTTAAATACAACTCCTCTTCTCCCATCCCTCAGGCCACCAGTCTTTGCTCCTTCCTCCCTCTGCCCATCCATTCTCCACTATTTACACATTATCTTCCCTTCCCTTTCTCCATCTTTCCCATCATTCCCTTCCTCTTCTCCCTCCTTCCCATTCTTCCCTTCCTCTTCTCCCTCTTGCCCATTCTTCCCTTCAATTTCTCCATCTTTCCCATACTTCCCCCTCTCCCCTTCCCCCTCCCCCTTCCCCTCCTTCTCCCCTTCCCCCTCCCCCTGCTAACAAACACCACTGGTTAGGTCCCACATAAGGGCAACCTCCCTTGGGTCCTTGTTTATTCTCTCATGTTAGCGTCACAGAATTTATTACGGGCGGAATAATTATGAACTCAAGTAAAATTATTTTTGTGAACCTCTCCAACAAGCAGAAGGGGGGGGGTGCTGGGGGGCGGGGGTGTGGTGGGAGGCAGGGGTGTTCTGGGGGCGGGGGTGTGCTGGAGGCCAGAGGTGTGGTGGGGACCGGGTGTGTTCTGGAGGGCGGGAGTGTGCTGGGGTGCGGGAATTTCTTGGAGAGTTGTACTGGGGGGTTGTGCTGGGGGTTGTGCGTGCAGTGGGGTTTGTACCGGGGATTGATGCTGAGGAAGAGGAGGAGAGAAAATAATGATATTTTTTTCCACTTGCTTCCTAGGTGAGTCGAGATCCATCCACCTCAGCCTACTGCCTCCATAACACCTCTCTCGACTCCTTCTCTTTGGTGCTCTGTTACTTCGCTCTAAGTCCACGTTACAAATTTTAATCTGGTTACTGTTCCCGGGACCTCTATGTCCGCATGTCAGCTTGCAAAACTTGATCCCTCAGCGCACGGTCTGCTGCTTCCTCCCATAAATATGCTCGGGAATCCGGTAGGTAAAAATATATTTTTATTTGCAAAATTTCTCGGCTTTACTCTGGTTAGGTATATACTGTATTACCTTGACTATCACAGTTAACCCTCCCTGACATGGGTAACCATCTCAACCTAACCTAACCTAAACTAACCTAACCTAACCTTGACTGTCACAGTTAACCCTCCTTGACATGGGTAGCCACCTCCCGCAATCACCATGGCAATATCTCAGTCGGGGGTCCGTGGTCAATAATAATAATAAAGTGCTCAGCCTTTGGACCCATGTCCTTGGGACCCATTTTGGAGCTATTGCTGGAACAGTCAGACAGAGACACTCATAGTCAGGCAGACAGACCCCCACTTACAGTAATGAGGAACTAGGTGAGAAGGTGAGACGCGTGAAAAAGTACAGTAAAATGGGCACAATATGAAGGATATAACTCAAGTCTGGGCAGTATGGGAGTGGAACCTTAATCAACAATTCCTTAACCTCTCCACATGTTATTTCGTCATTTCGTTTTTCCAATCCTTTCGAAAGACTTCCTCATTAATGTGAACTCGACTATTAGGTGTTAGTCAAGATTGTCGTAGTATTTATTATTATATTAAATTAGCATTTTATGGGATTTTTAGCCTACACAAAACCATTTATGACAAAATATATAGAAGGAAAAAGGGGAATTGAAGAAGCGAGACAGAAGAAGAAAGAAAGAATGAATAAGCAATAGAAAAGATAAACATTGAGAGAGAAAACGAAAATGCAGGAAAGAAACAAGAGAAATAGAGAAAGGGGGAAGAAAGATGGGGAGAGGAGAACTAAGAAGAGTGATAGAAAGGGAGAAATGGAAATGAAGGTAGAGAGAAATGGAGGAAAGAAGAAAGAAAGAGTGAGAGAGAGAGAGAGAGGAAGGAGACAAAAGGGAGTAAAACTACAGCCGGTGTTCCAGAAAAATCAATTTGTCTTTTCACTATTTAGAAATATCCTTGAATAGGTTAGGTTAGGTTTTGGTTAGGACAGTAAACATTACGTCTACACACAAAAGCCAATATCCCAGGAGCTTCAGTATACGAGAACCAACTTTTCCAATGAATGCAAGAGGATTTTGTTCCCTTAAGAATATAGCAAACGTTTTCAATAATACCAACAGTTGATATTCTTAGGAAACAAAACATCTTTTTATTCATATCAGTGAGACGTTTCTGGTTTTTTTTTTTATCTATTACAAGTGAATTAATAACATTTTTGTTCGTATTTAAATTAATGCCTAGATGATCAAAACATAAAATCAATCCCATTATAATAGGAATTCACACTTGGAAGTGTTTTCATATTAAGCCAAAATGAAAAATGAAACGCCATCTATGAGTCATCAAGAGACAAGACACATTGCTGAAGAATCAATATGGGGGACTAGTGAGACCGGCCTCCCTATAACGAGGTCTTGGCTGGTGTAATCTGACACCCACCACGGCACAAGGGAGGCAGCTGGCAGAGGGAAGGTGGTACAGTGCAGCTGGCAGAGGGAAGGTGGTATAGTGCAGCTGGCAGAGGGAAGGTGGTACAGTGCAGCTGGCAGAGGGAAGATGGTATAGTGCAGCTGGCAGAGGGAAGGTGGTGCAGTGCAGCTGGCAGAGGGAAGGTGGTGCAGTGCAGCTGGCAGAGGGAAGGTGGTATAGTGCAGCTGGCAGAGGGAAGGTGGTGCAGTGCAGCTGGCAGAGGAAGGTGGTGCAGTGCAGCTGGCAGAGGGAAGGTGGTATAGTGCAGCTGGCAGAGGAAGGTGGTACAGTGCAGCTGGCAGAGGGAAGTGGTGCAGTGCAGCTGGCAGAGGGAAGGTGGTATAGTGCAGCTGGCAGAGGGAAGGTGGTACAGTGCAGCTGGCAGAGGGAAGGTGGTACAGTGCAGCTGGCAGAGGGAAGGTGGTACAGTGCAGCTGGCAGAGGGAAGGTGGTACAGTGCAGCTGGCAGAGGGAAGGTGGTACAGTGCAGCTGGCAGAGGGAAGGTGGTACAGTGCAGCTGGCAGAGGGAAGGTGGTACAGTGCAGCTGGCAGAGAGGATATGGCTGAGGGAAACTGATATAGAGTTGATAAAAGACGGCTGACAGAGAGAAGGTGACAGAGAGGAGGTGGCAGACAGCGGCAGGTAGAGGAGTACTGAAAGTTAGCAGATGATAATTGACAGTGGAGTTAGTAGAGGGCAGCTGTCAGGATCTGATTGGAGAGAGGTGGCAATTAGGAGAGGAGAGAGGCTGCAGGGATGGGGTGAGGATATGCCGGTACACAATCTCTGTTCCTTCGTTACAGAGATCAGTCGCCTCGTTATCAACACCTCATATAACTATCCAGTAATGTCATACATACAACTGCAGTAAGAACAGCTGTCAAGGGAGTGTGATGTACTCATTCAATACTTCTCATCATTATCTTAGAGATCAATATGACACATATTTAGACAAACTCTTCCTGATGATAAATTTGAGAGTAAATTTCAGTAACAGGTATCAACGGTGTCATGAATAAATTTTACATATAATTTGTATATTAAGGTATTTAATTTACGGGTCATATGTAACTCCTGGTCAATTTTAGCTATGCTGTAGGATGGTTGTAGTCAAGGGCAATCACACAGTCTACTTATTCGTTACCTTTCATTCATTCTTGCTGCAGTAACAGGTTTTATCCCGCTATAGTGTGAGGCTCCACAAGAAGACCCTAAAAATCATTTGGTTTATCCCAATTTTTACACACAGTCAACCATTACCCTAAAAACACTGGGCTCCACGATCCAATATCACACACACACACACACACACACACACACACACACACACACCGCTGCTGCTTTTTGGATATCCACATTCCTCACTTCCAGTATATCCTTCTCCCTATCTTTCTCTTTCTCTCACCAATTCTCAATTTCACATCCTCTTGTCAATATTTTACCTACCATTCTCTAAGTACATCGACACCGTCTGAGCAAACTCTAATCAACTTTGTCGCAGGCTAATTACCTATCGTCCATTCTCATGTTACATTTACTAGTTCTTCATAATTTTTCCCCTTTCTTTCCCACAATATATCCCTCCTTTATTTTTTAGCTGTCATTTCTTTTGTACACTTTGTTTCACACCCCTTTCAGATCCCATTTGAGCAGTTTATTAGTCTCTCTCTACGTCTACACCCTTGTGAAATCTCCCTGATAATCTTCCATCTGCTCTTGTTTTCCATTCATTCACCTTTATATTGTCTTTGTGATAATTTGTATACACTAGGGATGAACTTGAAGATAGAGATCAGGGTGAGGGAGAGGTGAACCTGAGGACTGAGCCAGCCACCATGCCAAAGCTTCCAATAATCACAATCACAAACATAAACATGCTGGGTAAGGGATCAACGAGTACTCACGTGTGTTGAAGCTCCACAGTTCGGCAGAGGAACCTCGTAAGTCCTGGTAGCCGCCGTAGATGAGCATGGAGTCTCCTATCATGAGAGCAGTATGGCCTCTGCGACCAGTGGGTCCAGACGCGCCGCCACTGAGCCCGCGACCACCACAAGCTGGTGCTACCCCTCGTCCTCTGCCCTCCCACCGCCACTTCCGCCACACTTTCGTCTGGCGGAGAGTAAAATATTACATGTAACAATATATCTAGAAATAAAGGTCATTCATTACAGTGATAAAAATATGTCACGAGTGATGTAAAGCAAATTAAACATCGTCTGGGTGGATGCAAACCGTTACTATAGCAGATTATATACAGTATTATGGCGCTAAAGATGCTGTTACTTTAAATTAATGGAGTCATCGCTGGAGAGTTTCATTTCATCGTTTTCTTTAACGCCAGAAAACCCTCATCGTTTTCTTTAATAAACGACAGATAACGTGTGATTTTACTGCGAGATCCCTTACCTTCGCTGGTGAGCTCTAAGCCTGCAGAGGTCCTCAAAAGACGGACCGTGGTCCTCTAGGGGCGGACAGCTGCCGTCATCAGTCCGGACCACGGAGCTAATTCTAATCGCAGCCCACATATAGTAAATTCTACAGAGGTCGAGAAAGCTTCCAACTTGTCAACTCACGTTCGTCAGTCTTTTTAGCAATACATACATCTGTGAGTCAATACCCTCGAGTATGAATTTTCCCAAGTACAAATACCCTTCCCGGCTCACAGAACTCTATCTTGAACAGTGTGTCGGTCTGGGTAACTCAGTTCGTGTGTTGACAAGATCGTGGACCAGCAAAACCCGCTGTACTACTCACATACTATACACCACTCAAGCCTGACTCGTTAATAGTTGTGATAAACACCGCATGTCCATCACCACCACACATCCCTCACGACTGCACCTCTGTCACCACCACACATCACTCACTAGTCATCACCTCACACACCCGCAACTTGTCACACAAATCAGCCACATGTCACTTTCACACATATACACACATCCTCAGTTGTTACACACACACACACACACACACACACACACACACACACACACACACACACACACACACACACACACACACACACACACTGTTTTGCCTCTTTGCAACAAGTAGTAAACGCAATTAAACTTTATGATCTTCGACGTAACAAACGCTAAAGCCTTTTCACATTTAACTATCCACAACTGGGGTCACTGTAAGGCTCCTGGTTATCTGATTAATAGCACAAATTTCGTGTTGTTTTTCTCTTCCATTATTGCGTATTGTCCTTTAGTATTAATAGTTATATGTTCTAGTGAAGTAATACCCCCCCAACCCATCCCTACCCAGTCGTTTCAGTAATTATGCTGGAAGTTAATGAACACCACAAGCTTTATTATTCTTCATTTTCCTAACTTTTGCCTCAACTTCTTTTACCACCCCCTTCCTCCCCCCCAAAGGCAGCTTAGTTTTTGTTTCTGTTTCATTACCTTAACTGTATCATTATTATTCCACAGTTTCTCTATATAGTTTGACCACCTGTCCCTTACTTAAATAGGATCTCATTATCTTTACTTTTCATGTTTCAGTGTCATTTATCTAATATTTTCTAGTTAGTTAATATTATTTGTATGTATTTCCATAGTTAATTATTTTAAAGACAATATTCTTTAATTTGTTTACTTTTCTATTTCATTTCTCCACAAAGATCATCATATGTCTATTACTCTGTCTAATAATCTAGGTAACATTTTGTAAGCAATGGCACATCTATAAAGTTCAATTTCTTGTTCTTCAAGTTCTTCATCAAACAGAACTAAGAATCTGTTTTGGGTTTTAATTTTATATGTTATCCGTGCCTCTGTTTTCAGCTTCTAGAAACCCCATTTAATGTAATCAAATTTTTCTCCTCTACTATCTTAAGTTGTAGCCTCATTAATGTCTACTGTGATCATGGTCTAACCCACACATAGTCTCCTTCAATCTTATTCAAGTTTACCAATTTCTTGAACTTTCATCGGAATAAAATATAATCTATTTCAATCCTGAGAATAATATTTTTTAATCTTGAAGTGAAATCCATATACAATACTAAAAACCCTCGGGTGATGTTGAAATAATCATTTTATTTTCATATCAACAGTCAACAAAACTTTCTCCTCTCTCGGTTCAATTAAACGACGTATTTGATCCCCCTCCTGGTGTTTCTTGCCCAGCCTTTATCCTTACATTAAAAGCCTCCATTATAAATTCAGGATTAAGTTAATTTTACAGCCTCTCTTGCCTTCTAGGAAATCTCATAAAACATTTCTATACTGGGGTGGGGGGTGTTGCAGAAAGCGATAGTGGTAGCCTATATCAGTGGATGGGAAGAGGAGCCAGCCAGAAACCGCTGACAAGGCGCGGCCTAATTGCATCCGGCTCTCCTCGCCCTCGTTCTCTGGTGGTGAAAAGCTCGGTTCTTTGGTTGGAGACAGTCTGGATTTTAAAGGGACTTGAACTTTCTAGGGAAAATGCTCCTATATCAAACGATGACCAACTCATCTAAGAAAAAACATGTTTCTGTGGATTCAATTTTTCTCTTGTTTCATATATTTATTGCCATGGATAATTCTTCACTGCATATCGTCTAGAATCTTTGCAAAAACGTATGACAGGCCCAGCAAAACACAGAAGGTCTATTGGCTCTCATCAGAAACGTTGCACCTGCAGTTGATACATGCTAGTCCCGTTATAATACTCGACTAGCACCCACAGAACACCTGATACCGCCGGTACAACACATCGAGACTAAAGACCCACCTCTCTTCCTTACAGTGCATAAATATCTTGGACATGTTACTCACATTGCGCAAGGCTTCATAAAGCATCGCCGTATTTGTTTGAATTGGATGTGGATGAATGGCTCAAGTTTAGTTCCTGTTTTATGTCATTTATGGAAGCACTTGTATGATAAAGTAGAGGGAAGCATTTCTCTGGCATATGGATTTGCAAAGCCTATGTACTGTACATGCTTAACGATGGGTACTGAAGGTAGTTTTGTGTGTATAAATAATCAGCATGAAAGCATCTACCATCACACCAAATTTCATGTTTATTTTCACTCATCAAAAAGAAATTTGTGCAGTTGTTCAAGTGTAATACTCTGTTGTCCTACGAAGCAAACAGTTTCATTCTTGTGTTTTCTTGGTTTTAGAAGACTCTCCTATAAGGATGTAAGCATCACAGTGAGAGGTGAACAACGAATGAAATGCCAATACTAAAGCCCGGATCTAGGATTTGCTGTGAGAGGGACGGAATGAAAAGCTCTTTACATACCAGTGCCGGTTCCATTAGGCGTTGTCATACTACGTTTGGTTTCGTTGGTAAGGGAACAGCTTCACTTCACCTGCTTAATAACCTATACGGTATCTCCGGATGCTTGAAAGGTTCACAGATATGCTCTATGACAATGGCACCCCGGAGAGTACTGTCAGCGAAACAAGGATGAATCTCTTCTATAAAAATATACGGCCAATTGAAAGACCTCCCACTCAAGTAAGATAATTATAGAGGAGTTACGTTTTTTAAATATTTGTATTAAAAAAAATCATAGGATCGAACGTTTCAGAGATCTCCCGTACGTAAAAATAACACTGATGAATATTACAGGAGTATCAGAAGGGAGTAGGTGAAGGCACTCATAGGATTACTTACCCTGCCACCGTGTTCATAATTTATGCCGTGAGACCATCGATCTCAACCCAAAATAACTCATTCCTGAGATGATCCTCGGAAAGGCTTCATGAAAGTTTAAAAACTAGTAAAAGCTCGAAGTGTCCTGTAAATAAAGTGATCAACCTTGTCATCAATCACTGGAATTCCACGCCAACAGTTTGACCTTGATTTATAATTTTAAAAAAAAAGAAGACTGACCTGCTCGGGTATCGGATAAGAAACATTTTGGCAGACAATGAAAGTTCCTGCAATACATATTCTCGAGCTAAAGTACACTAGACCCTCTTCACGTTTTTTTCTGAACTCCGTCTTTGATGAAACTTAACTAAAAATTACATGTGATTAATTCTGAATCTTTGATCTTCGAAGTCAAAACATCAGAAGTTCTATCAAACTATCCCATCAGATTCTTAAACACAATTACTATAAGACTCTGTTAAAGGTCGAGGTCACAGGATTAGATATAATTCACCTGACTGTAAGTTATTATCCTTAAACTTTTGGGTCATTCCTGTTTTCACCTAAAAATTTCTCCTACGCTACACAACAATTTTCGTTAAGTTTTCCTCCCCCCCCTTCCCCCCTTTCCATCTAAGGTGTTGTCTACAAGGACATTACGCTGTGTTGTTCCACTTCAACAAAAACATGTATCCTAAAATCAAATTACTGAAATTTTCCGTTTTCCACAAACAAATTTATTGTTCCTCAATAACTTATCAATATTATTTCTAGCAGTCATACTTTTAAATAGAAAAAATATTTACTGTGCATAATTTACCTGATGTTTCGTCATTAAACTTCTTTTGAAAAAGTCTAGTGACGAAACGTCAGGAATAAAGCTCCATCTACTAGTCGTGTTTCCTTCACTACCATCAGTCTACTATGAACAATGTTCAAACATTTGCCGAAAAACATAATTAAAAAGTTGAAACACACGTAAAGTTAGTTTTTACAGTGTCATAGAGGAACCTTTCAAAAAGGTAAACAAATTCGTTCATTTACTATGAAAGGAATTTCCTTGGTCGTTTGAAACTGTATCATTCACGCATAGTACAGAAGACAGCCACGGACTACACCAGGTTTACTGCCGAATATAACTGCAAACAAATCATACCTGAGGAATGTATATCCAGAGCGGCGTCTCGTTGGACATACAGAGTTCGCCGCCGAAGACGAAGAATTTGTCTCCTGCTTTTATCATAGTGTGTTGCTGCAAGGTGGGCGGCCTCGACCCAGTGTCCTCCCGCACCTCCCGCCACGCCCGAGTCACTGCCGGGGAAAATTGTCTTATTAACCAAGAACCCGAGAGTCATGGGAAAAGAAAACAGTTGTTATGGAGGGAAAATACCAGTCATGTTAGGGAAGAAATACTCGTAACGATGAGACGCTGGTGAGTTAGGCTGAGGAAGGAGCATCAGTGTTGTTCAGGAAGGGATATGAACGACGCTGATGAAGTGTTACTCAGGGGAAAATACCCACCATATTAAGGAGGATTATCCGTGATGCTTGTGTTATAGTCTAATGCTACCAAGAAACACCTGAATTTCTACGACCAGTATATAGAGAAAAGCTTACAAGCATCTTAATGTTTCTCTCTGACCAATGAATATAAGTTTCCTCACCCTCATCACGATTGTTTCTTCAACAATATTCTCACCCATAAGAAAAAATACTTGTTTTTTAATCTGTAGGTTAATAAAATTTTTTAATTAACGTAGAAAACTGAGACACCCATCCTGAAAATATGGAAATAATGTTTAATTAGTGAAACTGATTTAACATTGTCTGTCAAGGAAATTTTGGTTTGTATAAATTAAATGAATTAAAAAAAACAGCCCAACAGAAGACGGTGTACCAGTGTTGGCTATAGTGAATGTTAAGTCTTCAATAGAGGTTCGTAGTTTTATTGAAGAACACAGATGCTACAGAGGGAAGGAAAAACTACTGAGAGATGAACACAAATTCTACTGTGAAAGGAAAACATGTAACACTAAGGTTGGAACATATGTCTCAGAGGAACTACAGTGTTACTGAGAGTGGAACTCGAGTGTTTCAGCGGAAGGAACACAGAAAATCCTGTAGTGGGAATCCGGTGAAAGAAACAAATGGGTTCACAAAAAAACCCTACTGATAATACGGAAGTACCATCAGTGTTGCTTAGAAAGGAACATCGGTGTTACTGAGGAGACATTTCGGGGTTACTGTGGAAAACGACAAACAAACTGCTGGGGAAGTATCATTACTGAGGAAGGAGTATCAGTGATAGTGTTATAATGAATGAGGTCAATAATAGCCACGAGAAGCATCAGTAATTTTAATTTAGGAAAATAGATGATACTAAATGTTAATGAAGGAAGATTATTATTGATACTGTCAGAAGAACACCAGCAATACTGACTGACAATCACCAGTAATACTGACTGAGGATCATCACTGATATTCACTGAGGAACGTCAGTCATGATGACTTAGAAGGAACTGTGATACTTAGCCAAGAAGCGAGGCTGAGTGACGAGTATGATCCATACAACTAAACCTCATAAGCTGTACTGCCTCATCTCTCGAACATGGCTCGTACCACACTCGGTATCTGCCCCCATGTTGTGAGCTGCCAGAGTCACTTGTCGCCTCCAGCACCTCCCTCCCCTCAACTACTTTCTCCCAGGATTTACCAGCAAACTCCCACCAACGAAACAGTGCAGGAAATGATGAACACTTTATGACTGATATGAAAGTGACAATTTCATTTCGAAAAAAAGTATGAGCATGGTCAGTGTTTATTATCTGTACGACACACCGGAAGGAAGGTACTGTGACAAACACAAAGGGACTTTCCACACAACACCAGCATGGCTGACACCGTACATGTTATTCCCACTACACGTCTCTTCACCATCTTTGACGTTAAATTTGCCATGTTATTATTGCTCTTTAACCAAAAAAAGGTCTTTAATCTCGTAACAAGATTAGTAACTACACTAGTCCATCAACAATTAAAAATTATGAGAAATATAACTGGCATTCCTTCCCTTAATGATACCCTCCCGCCATCCTCCTTCACTATACTGTATGATATTGTTCTCGGGCACATGTCCTTAACCACCACCAATATTTCGTTCATCACCACAATTTTGCGTTTCAATCTCGCACCATTTTTTTCCTTCTCAAATACCATTACCGTTTCCTTTTATTCCTTGCTCTGTCAAACCCACTCGCCACCCTTTCCTCCGTATCCCTTCAAACAGTCACAGATTCGTTTCTGTCTCAGCCACTTTCATTACCCTCTTCATCCCAACCATAAATTACAATAAGAAACAACCAAGCACCTGCATGCCTGACACTGTACCTGTCTTTACTGTAGTGATGTCTTGTTGTATACTGTACATGCGTTGTTAATCCACACACAGGTGGGGTGAGAGGGTGAAGGAGGGGTGAGAGGGTGTAATAGAGGTGAGGGAGAAGGGAGAGGATGATGGGTGAGGGAGGGGTGATGGGATGGCACGAAACCTTTCCCGCCTGCCAGGAGGGGTAAGGGAGGGGTGAGAGGATGATAAGTGAGAGAGGGGAGAGAGAGTGCGGGAGGGGAGAGAGGGTGATGTGTGAGAGATGGGTGAGGGAGTGGTGAGAGGGTGTTGGTGGAAGAGAGAGTGAGGAAGTGGTGAGGCTCTTTTTTGTAGAGAAAGAAGGGTGAAAGAAGATTAGAGGTGGAGGAAGGAAGCTCTAGTTCGGAAATTAAAGAAATTTATGAGGAGGAAGGAGAGGGAGGGCTGGCCGCCTTGCTACGGGTTAGCTAAGTTAGGGTTGTGTCATGGGTTAGTTATTGTTTGTCGACACAGGCACTAGACAGCCTACCCTATCTCATATATGAGTGTTTTGAAGGCCTTATTTCGTATTCCGCCAACCAGGGTGTAGGTCGGGTGAGAAGGAGAGTGAGAGGGTGATGTGCGAGGGAAGGTTAGAGGGTGAGAAGATGATGGGTGAGGGAGGGATGGGGTTGTGGGAGGGGATGATGGGTGTGGGAGAGGGTCGGAGGGGATGATGGGTAAGGGAGAGGGTCGGAGGGGATGATGGGTAAGGGAGAGGGTCGGAGGGGATGATGGGTAAGGGAGAGGGTCGGAGGGGATGATGGGTAAGGGAGAGGGTCGGAGGGGATGATGGGTAAGGGAAAGGGTCACAACACCAAGAATGAAGAAGCTAATAAGATGAAGGAGAGACGAGATAACAACAAACATGAAGTACATGCAAAAGGAACTAACAATAGGTCAAGTGTCAAGATCAAGAGGAAAACGAATGCCCAAGAAACTGAATCAAAAAAAGAAATCTACGGAACATAATGACCTTAAAGATGATGGTTGCCAGAAAATCTGAAAAGTCAAGAATCATTCAGAGTCACAAGTTCTGGACTGACAGATTGTGGAATATTATTATGGACTTTACAAATGAGAAAAGTTGTGGTAGATATCACAAGTGAGTTAACATTCACGACTAGTTAAAGACACTCCCGCTAAAGATCTCTGGAAGACCCCCAAGAAAGAAATTCAAAGGTCACTGTTGTTTGGATCTCGTTCTTCTAAACATAAGTGATCATTAATGGTCTTAAATTCAGCCAGGGCACTTGGAGGTCAATAAGGCCACCGTGACCTTATGATACTAATGTTCAAAGTAATAGTAAGGTGGATAAATGACATGGGTCGTTATTACACAGGTGAAAGAGAGGTAAACCTACTGAGGTCATAGATCCAGAAGTCCTTGAGAGGGAGGTTCCCGTGACGTCCGCCCAAGAGGTACACGTGAGGGTGGTCGGTGCAGACGGCATGCTTGTGACGCGCACTCGGCACCTCACTGCCCACCACCCCCACCACCGACGACCACATCTCCTGTAACAACAAAACAACAAATTTTCAGTAACATTATACAGTACATTCAGTCGTTACTCACATGAAAGCTATTGTAAAGTTTAACCAAATGAATGAGATTAAGTATTGTATAACATAAACAACTAAATCCTGTGATACTGTTAAGGCGACAACATGTAAACACTCTCTCTCTCTCTCTCTCTCTCTCTCTCTCTCTCTCTCTCTCTCTCTCCCCGATGCAATTGATTCTCCTCTGGGAAGCGTATACGTAATATTAATAACAACACCAACGTATGGATAAAAATCAAAGTATTTATTTGGTAACGTTTCGACAATACTTCTTGTCCTCATCAGACCTAAAATACATGAAATAAAATACAGCTGCGTAAACATTTAAACTGTAAGGTACACAATTACAACTCCGGAATACATCATTAAAACATAAACATTTTATTTCCTAAAATTTATACAAATAACAAGAAGGAATTACAAGTAGTAGGAAATACTCAGAACAATTAAAGATTCACAATAATGGTAAGTGAGGATACTGTTACTTTCTTGTGGAATGAATGACTGTCGTTGATATCACAAAGGTTATCATGGGAACATTATCTCAAACTCCTTAGATTTTGTACAGTATATTGAAAAGTTGAAATATTTTCTGAACTTTGCTCCAAAATTCTACTGAATGCAGTTGAAAAGAGAAGCAATCAATCTTTCATTTAGAATATGAAATATCCGCCTCTTAAGTGACATTGTTCGCAACGTAGACTTGTAGTTATAGGCATCTTAAAAGTACTGCGCATGACATAACAGCACCGCGTATTCCTTATTTTCAGGTGGTCCAGCTCGTGAGTATTGACCCACAGTATTTTTTAGTAATGACTTTTCCTAAAACCCTGAACATATAGACATTAAATATGGGGATAACTGCTTTATTTTTCCAAAGGTTTGAGGCTGTAGGTTCCTTAGTTTACGATTACCTGACCTCTGATTCATACCTTTAAATGCATGACGCAAAACTGTCATCCGTGATGTATAATACGCAAGCATAATCTACCATTTGCTTATCATGATTATCTAGTGTCTACAATATGGTGGATTCTCCTTCTCGTTTGATATTGCCAAGACTCAGCCAGCTGCCATCGTCCTCCACACAAGTCGGAGATGTTCCGTAAAAAGTTCAGTAGTCGCACTGCATGCTCCGAGAGGGCAGGTCACACACCTTGCCATAGCACCTGTTACTGCCTTGGTTTATTCTTGTAGTCATCCAGAATTTAAAAGTAATCCAGACTAGGAAGTATTCACACTGCACCCAGAAGGAGTTACATTAAAGTGTACCTGATTGCTTTAACAGACAACAATATGCTTACGCGATCTATCTGCAGGTGTACAGTCAACAACAAAAAATTCTGAATTCTGAATAACACCCATGAGTTAAGGTGTTTGTTGGTAGCACTGCTTTATAGAGTTGCCAGTTACTCTATATTAACTATACGTGATATACATAATACATCGTACTGGTTATACAATGCATCCACACAATGAACATGGCCTCAGTCAGTGGTCGTTAGGAAGGCAGTCAGACCCAGGGGTGAAGATTTTTCTTTTACTACTTATTCAGGACATTTTTCCTATACTGTAGTTCCCGTTAGGTTAAAAAGTATTTTTTGAAAGTCTGCAAAATATTCCATTACATTTTTCGCATCTGGAGATACTGAATTTACAGCAAAAGTAATAGTCTGGTGCGTGGCGGCCATCTTGAACGCCAACTTGAATATCTCAATTTCCCTAAAGGTGACAAGGTGTTATACGGCAGATTTAAATTCAACATTCCAAATTTATACAAAATGACTCGTAATAGTTTGTGAGTATGCACAAACACACTTTTCCCGCGGTGCCCTGGGCTATTAGGTATGGTATACACTACACAGTATGTCATAACTTAATCATTCAGATATATGTTATACATTACGTCATCATCTAATCTTTCAGGTTTGTGCCTTCTATCGCGTCATTATTTACTTTATAAAATATTCCCAACACTACATCACTTACATGTTTCATCTCCTCACTGTCTACTTATGAGCACTTTAGACAATGGGCCTCATTCACCTTTCAATTACTTTTTATCATCACTTGACCACACCTTCAACAGCATTCATGGAGTTTTTGGTGTTTTAGCTTTGGTTAGCTTAGGTTAGATGTAGCCGACCAGGAGTCAAGATACAGGTGCTAGTTTATGACAACCTGTGCGTCAGAGCCAGAGACTGAGGACGAGGAAGACCTTCACTCTCACCCGGCGACTAAGCTTCTTATCTTCAACATGTTCCCCTACACCAGTTACCACACCTATCTTAGTCACCCTCACACAGCTACCACACTTCTCGTAGTCACCAGAGCCCTCCTATCTCATCCCCCGTAAGTATTATTACCTTTCTCCCCCACACCCTGCCAGGTGCTATACAACCCTACTGCTACACCCCTACCTACCACCATCACCTTGCTCCCCTACCCCTCCCTACCACCATTACTCTGCTCCACTACCCCTTCCTACCACCATCACCATCCCACCCCCTCCCTACCACCATTACTTCCGCTCCACTACCCTTCCACCACCACTCAGCCCCACCTCCCTACCACCATTACCTGCTCCACTACCCCTCCCTACCACCATTACTCTGCTCCACTCACCCCTCCCCACCACCATCACCAGCCCCCACCCCCTCCCTACCACCACATCACTCCTGCTCCCCCACCCCTTCCTGCCACCATCACCAGCCCCCCTACCCCCTCCCTACCACCATCACCCCTGCTCCACTACCCCTTCCTACCACCATCACCAGCCTCCCTACCCCTCCCTACCACCATTACTCTGCTCCACTCACCCTCCCTACCACCCACATTTGCTCCACTCACTCCCTCCCTACCACCATCACCAGCCCCCTACCCTCCCTACCACCATCACCCTGCTCCCACCCCTTCCTACCACCATCACCAGCCCCCACCCCCCCTACCACCATTACTTTGCTCCACTACCCTTCCTACCACCATCACTCAGCCCCTACCCTCCCTACCACCATTACTCTGCTCCACTACCCCTTCCTACCCCATCACTAGCCCCCCACCCCTCCCTACCACCATTACCTCTGCTCCATTACCCCTCCCTACCACCATTACTCTGCTCCACTACCCCTCCCTACCACCTCACCAGCCCCCTACCCCTCCCTATCACCATCACCCTGCTCCACTACCTGCTGTCCATAACTGTGGTCAACCCTAACTGAGTCAACCTTGGTAACACGCTTGCCCACCTTCTACTTCACTCTGCCACCCTCCCTTATTAATCTCATAACCCCGTCGACAGTCTTCCCTGGCTCCCACTGCGGGCTTCCCTCCTCTGCCTTCCCGCTCTCTACCTTGACACAAGCCACTCACGCATACATCCAACCAAACACTGTCTCTCGTATTACTTCTCTAAACTAACCACACTCCACTTGTACTCCACGCTGCTCTTCCTACGCACGTACTCACTTCTCACACACTCAATTTACTGATAAACTCAAGCCATATAGTACAAACACTTTACACTCGACCTCCTGTACACCTCTTTTCACAACTTTTTGCACATCTCCATTCTACTTCGTCAATACTCCTCACTCTAGCACCGACAGACCTCTCACTCACTCACTCACCTCTCTCTTATCATCTACAACGCCTCACTCTACCACCTACAAAACCACTAACACTGCCACCCACACCCTCTCACTCTACCACCTACAAAACCAAGATACAGCTCACTCTGTACTCAGACTTCGGTCCGCAAAGAGGTAACGTTGCCGGCACTGCACTCGACTGCCTTTACTTCATCAATTACAAAGTTCAGAACCCACATACAGCTCTCTGGAGTTTGGAGTGCCTTGGAATCAAACCAGCGACCCTTATGACAGGATGCGAGTGTTGTATTCGCTGATCCGCTGAACCCCTTTTGCAGTAGAGTTAGTCGTAAACAGAAACGTAGGGCTGATGTCAGAAAAAAGGGAATAATGAACTTTACATAGCAATGCAAAACTCCTTTATAGAGTTGAGAAGTTCAAGGAACAGTTAAAATTACAGAACCCTGACCAACACATAGCCTTTGTTGGTATCGAATCCAGTGGAAAATGTCTCTGTCAGCTGGTACTTAGATCATCAATAGAAACGAAGACAACAATAAAAATGGCATATCAGCTCTGAGTGACAGACAGTATAGAAGATGATGTTGCCAAGACACTGAGGAGGTGACAGACAGCGTAGCTGATGTTGCCTAGACACTGAGGGGGTGACAGACGGTGTAGCTGATGTTGCCAAGACACTGAGGGGGTGACAAACAGTGTAGCTGATGTTGCCAAGACACTGAGGGGGTGACAAACAGTGTAGCTGATGTTGCCAAGACACTGAGGGGGTGACAAACAGTGTAGCTGATGTTGCCAAGACACTGAGGAGGCGACAGGCAGTGTAGCTGGTGTAGTCAAGACACTGAGGAGGTGACAGACACTGAGAAAAACAATACGGCAATCACTTGTTGTTTGTAAGGATTTATCGTCTACCGTAGTTTATTTTATAATTTCTTGATTACTAGATCCGATAATAAAGCAAGCATGAAGCAGTAACCCGGTATAGGTGTGTGGGAGTCCAGTCCGGGAGAACGACCTTGATTCAGGTAATTGCCTTGTAGTACGCCAGACCAAGCCAAGCCTCCTGCCAACTCGTGTCCATGCCTAAAGGCATTTTTTTACACTAGTGACGTCACGGTCCAGTCAAGGGATGATCTCGTTCCGGTCACGGGACTAGGATACAGGTCACCGTCTTGAGTCCCTCGGTTGACCATTGTGGGTTACAGTAAGATGTGTGATTTCTCTTCATCAGAGTTGGCAATACACATAACTGTCTCAACCATGTTTTTCACTAATTAAATTAATAATTATTCTGAAGACAAGCGATAAACGCGTTTGAATAATACTAATTTCTAAAGGCTACAC